GCCCCCGCGCCCCCCGACCCGCGAAGCACGTGACCGCCGGCCTCCCCACGACCAACCAAGGCGCCCAGGAGGACCGCCATCGTCTTCCTCTTCGACTACGAGGACCCGGACGAGCTCGGACGCCCTCGAGCCACCACTTCGACGCCGCCGCCGACCCCGACCCCGACCCCTCCGGCGACTGGCCACGCCCGCCCAGGTACCTCTCCTCCTTCCTCCCTCTCCACCCTTCCTCCCCATTCCCTCCCTCCCTAGTTCTTCTTGCTATATGGATCAGAACATATGGAGCATTACTATTGCTATATGGAGCATTACTATTGTTCTTCTCTGAACCATTATCATTCCCTCCCTCCCTAGTTCTTCCTCCCCATTAATTTGCAGGATCAGAACAAGTTTGTAACAGGATGCTCTACAATGTTGATTAGGTGCATTACTATTGCTATATGGAGCAGCAATTTACTATTGCTATATGCTCTAGTTTGTATCAATGTTATTGTAGTTTTTCTTGTCATCAAGTTTAGTTGATGTTTATTTAAATATAGCTTATATGATCAGCCACTCTATGTATGATTGTGGTTTGAAGGTTCTGGAAGAACGTTTTTCCTTCAAATTCTATCTGGTGGCATTGTCCTAGACTCCCTAGTTGTGTTGTTAATTGTGCTTCTATTAAAAGAATTGGGAGTTACTCACTGTACTAGAACTCTGTAGGTTGAATTTTGGTTAACTAATACTGACGTTATGAGAATGTAAGCACCTATTGTTGCTACTGATATCATTGGCTCATTGCTGCCTTGGTGCAATGCAGAACTGTTAAGAGTGATTTGGAGGATTCAAGATTCTGTGAAGCTCTTTTGACATTTAAAACTCAGAACTGAAGGTACTTAATAAACTCAAAAGCATTGATGATAACTCTTGTTGCCTAGAAACAGAGGTAGTTTACATATTGCATTGCTGGTGTTTGTTTATGTTCAGAGTTTAAGCATGTGTAGTGTAGTGTAGTGTAGTGAGCTTGTTCTAGTGTAGTGAGGTCTGAACCATTGCACGATGTAGTGTAGTGTAGTGAGCTCTGAACCATGTTTAGTGTTGAGTACTTCAAGTTTACTGAACCTATTCATTTTTGTGGACTTAGTGAACATGATAAGACAAGCCAGATGCTCTATTTTTAATTAACAGTAATCCATGATCAGCAACAGTTTCTTTCACTAATTTTCAGTTAACAACAATCCATGATTTTTTTCCAGCAAAAACTATTCATGATTTTTTGTTGGGTGACCTATTAGATCTGGAATGGAAGCTCACATAAGTTGAGCTGATTTTTGTCCATATGAAAGCAGAGGACCATATGGTCTGTGGCCTTTTCATCCATATGAAAGTAGAGGCACATTGTGGTGCTAGTTTGCTGGGTTTTGTCTCCGACCATCGTGTCGTGATGATTTTGCAAGTACCCCGAGAGGCCCTTGAGTTTGCCGGAATGTCGATTAACTTCCGTTCCGGAAAATTCGGGTACTCCATATGTTTTATTTTCAGCAAAGGTCATGCTGAAATTTTCCGTGAATTTTAGCATGACTTTGCTAAAAATCGGACATATGGGGTACTTGCTACTAATGCATGGGCCGGGGTATCTTAGTACTTAATTAAGTAGGATCAATTGCCCCGCCATTCTTGCTGCATTAAACCATAGGTGGCAATAGAGCCAAGTGATTAGGCCCAACTTAGAATTCTCGTTAGCATCGATAAACCCTAGATGATAAACCCAACATAGGTGGCAATAGAGCCAAGTGATTAGTGCCAAGTGATTAGGACCAACCTAGGGTGCCTCGGCATCGATAAACCCTAAATGATGAAAACTTAACTTGGCTTCTATAGGGTGCCTCGGTGTCGATGAGAACCTAAATGATGTACGCTTAGGCTTTTAGGGTGCCTCGGCTTCGACAAAACCTAAATGATGAAAGCTTAGGCTTTTAGGGTGCCTCGACGTCGACAAACCCTAAATGGTAAAACCTTGGCTTTTAGGGTGCCTCAGTGTCGATAAGAACCTAAATGATGAAAGGTTAGGATTTTAGGGTGCCTCAGCATTGACAAACCCTAAATGATAAAAGCTTAGCTTTTAGGATGCCTCGGTGTCGACAAACCCTAAATGATGTAGTTTTGAATTATGAACGTAGGATATGTCGTCATCATCATCGAACGACGAAAGTGTCCCACCGGAGTGCGACTGGTGCCATGACGATCGAGGTCTGTGCGACATGCCTCACCTGGACGATGATCGGCGCTTCAGCATTAAGCTTGAGGAGACCTTCGAAGTTGAAACGGTACACAACGACGACAAGTGTTATTTTCATAATAAAGCATGACTTCAACTATTTCAACATGTAATTTTCATCTTTTACAATTCGAGTATAGCTTATCCCATTCCATGCAAGACGCTATGTCTTGGAGAGGATGGATTTTGAAGACCATGGAATTTCTGAAACAAAGAAAATTCACCTAAGGAATCATCATGATGTGGACTTTGAAGTAAATCTATATAATTCTGCAAGATGTATGGTTTTGATGAGGGTATGCTTATCACCATGGATCTTGGTAATCCTGACATCAACCAAGACAATATGGACATTTGGGTCCTTGTTGATACGCCTCCAGTTCTACTGCTATGTGAGTTTCTCAAACATAGTTATTAGCTAATTTATATTGTTTATTTCAAAATAGTTGACAGCTTATTTCCATTGACAGCTTATTTTTATTGTTCAAAGAATGTGTGGGAGATGGTAGACAAAACCCACTTCACCGATGGCTCCGAATTAACAACTTACAAGGAGAAAAATCATCTGGTCGGATTTTGTACTGACATTGAGAATTACACTATCCACAATCAAACTCCTCAACATTATGGTAAATACGTGCCACTAGTGCATGTGTTCAACTACGGTAACTACCATGGAGATAACCTGGTAACATTTTTACTATTACGACATCCTTGCATCTTTTGCATACTTCTAAAACTAGTACATCATTGCTAACTATGAAGTTATTACTATGTTTTTCAACAGATAATCCCAGAGAATTGTGTGCCTCATATGATGTATCTGAAAGGTAGTGTTAATGTTTTGAACATACAGCCAGGTCGTCCTACGAATCTCAACTGTCCATACGAGATTTCTAAAAGAAGTGGAGACATGAAAATCAAAGGATGGAAAAAATGTATGGACAGTCGTAAGGAGCTTCTTGGAAGCAAAAGGAAGCGAAGCGCAAGAATTGGAGACAAGATGTTCTCCATTCTCCATAATGGAGAGTCAGGGTCTATATTGTTTTATGCTATTTTAGCTTAAATAGGGTATTTAGGTCCTGCCTAATGATGATCATGTGCTAAGAACAATTAAGTAGGGTTGTTTCGATGACTATCAAGATGATGATCGTATGACTTGTTATGAATAACGAGTAGAAGTTGTATGATGATGATTAGTAGGACTTGTTAGGATTAGTATTACTTCCGACAAACTCGATACTCGCGGTCTCGAGACTTGTAATGTTTTATCTTTGTTCGGTCTTTTGAATTCGGAGACTAATATGATGAATTGTATTCAAAGACTAATCTTCTATTGTATTCGATGAATCTGCTGTTGCTATGTGCTACTGTCTATATTCTGTCAAATAATATATTTTGTAACATGTGCAAAAATCAGAAAAGTAAAAAAAAATAAAACCTAATATTCATACTAATGGCGCATCATTACAGAGTGTGCCATTAGTATGCCAAGTATATTAATGGCGCATCCATCCGCAGTGCGCCATTAGTGTGCCAAAGCACATGGTTAAATATGGCCCCTGGGAGGCACACTAATGGCGCATGGTGTTATATACTAATGGCGCACTGGATGGTGCGCCATTAGTATACCAGATAGTAATGGCGCACTAGTGGTGTGCCATTAGTAAAAATTACTAGTGGCGTGCTACTAATGGCACACCAGTGATGCGCCATTAGTAGGCAAAACTGGTGGGCCATTAGTAGGCCTTTTCCTAGTAGTGATCTAGTTGGGAAACAAGTTTGATGAAATTTTCAGGATACAGTACTAATAAAACAGATGAACCAAACAGGGCAAATGAGTAGGGTGGGTCACCATTTTGTGGCCGCTGCGATGTGGTACACCAAGAAGAGCTCATCGACGCACAACTGCAGGACTGCTGCCATCTGGGGAGGTTCATCTTCTCTGGTGTAGTGCACACCAACGCCGATGATCTTATGAATCTTGCCGCCAGCCTTCCTCCAGAGCCTGGACATCATCTCGTCGACCTTGTCTGGTTCGCTGGTGCAGACGATCTCCAGCGTCTCCTTGCCATGAAGGTCAACCCCTGTGGGTGTTGTGGTGTACTCGCGCTTCTCGCCGGGGACGTGAACGTCGATGAGGTTGCTGCTCTTGTCTGATGGCTCGCCTTGATGACGTTTGGCGGATGGTTCCTCCGCCATCGCCCTCCTCCGGCGCCTGTGGGCTTGTGAGAGAGAACTTTGTGATTTGTGTGCAGTGGAATTGGAAGCGGCAATGGTGGTTTGTGGGAATGAGGGAGAGATGGAAGAGAATGGGTTTTTTTGTAGTGCGTCGACGGGGATTTGTGGGAGGCGGTTCGTCGGGGGTGTGGGTGTAGTGGCTGTAGTGGCGTGGGGTCACCGTTTGCAGTCCCTTGTGGTAACCACTCAGTGGGTGGCGCGGGTGGTGGCCTGGAAGAACTAACCGTCCAAGTCAAATGGTTTTCACTGTTGCACTGACTAGTCTTGTCAAGCTGCACTTATGACCTACTAAACCCCATTTGCACGTCTCAGGGGTGGTGATGGTGGCATTTTACTGTCGCACTGATTCATCTTGTCAAGTTGTACTTATCGGCTGCTTATCCCACCTGCACATGTCAGGGTTTTGGTGATGATGGAGGTCTGTACTCCTCTACTGTGGTACTTGGACTGGTGATTGAAGTGTAATTGAACTTACCAAATACCAGTGAGACTATGTGTGATGCTAATGTTTTTTAAAACATTTTTTGTATTTTTAAAGGATTGTTTATATCAAGATAATCTCTGAGTATTTTTTCAGACAAATTAGATTTTCATCAGTACAAAATGTATTATATTCGCATTTTGCTTGAGGTAATTATTTTTATATACTGATGGTCTTTCTGAATTGGGACTGGCAGAAGCAGACAGAGCTTTGTTTTTTCAAAATGATGTTTTTTGGATGTGTTTACGGGTGTGTTTGTTTTACTCTGCCTTTGTACTGACGATTGAGAATTATCTGTACTGATGTACTATAAGATTTTAAATTTTTCCTTAACATGTTTTTGCTGAGTTACTGGTCGACAATAGTGTTTTCGTCAGTACAAATGTATTTGTGACTGCCTTCAAAAGGATTATCAAATGGTTTACATAATAATGTCACTGCTCCAGCGGGGACAAATCACAAATTATATCAGTACTAATGTGTAGTCTGCCTTTGTACTGACGACTGAGAATTATCAGTACTGATGTACTATAAGAGTTTAAATTTCCTTTAACATATTTTTGCTGAGTTACTGGTCGACAGTAGCGTTTGCGTCAGATAAATCCAGTTAAGTTTTTTCAAATGTATTTGTGACTGCATTCAAAAGGATTATCAAATGGTTTACATAATAATGTCACTGCTCCAGCGGGCACAAATCATAAATTATATCTTAACTATAGTACTGATCGAGAAATCGACGATAAAGCTAAATAAGTTTTGGTAACGACGTTGTTTCTGAAATGTTTCCTCATTGTGTGCTGAGGCAACTGAGACTACAAGATTATTTTTTAGTTGAAGCAGCAGCATAACCGCTATGTATTGTTCAGTCTTGAGCTTCTCCTAACTGGCCCCGCATGTGGTGCCATGCGAGCGCCCTTTCCCGGTGGAGCCTTGACAGCTTCATCGTTAGTTTCAGTTTCCTCGTCCCCGACACTGTCATCTTCATTGTCTTTGTCTGATTGGTCATCATTCTCGTCAAACTCTTCTTCTTCATCGTCTTCATTTGATTTTGTGGAACTCTGCACCTTGCCCTGTTTCTGCTCAGCGCCACTGACTTCCTTGCCCACTTTGCATGTGCGGGCATTATGCCCGTCAGTTCCCCCACACTTGCGGCAAGTGCAGCTATTATGTGTGTTGTCTCCATTGGTAGAAACCTGGGTGGCTCCAATCTGCTTGTGCAACGTTTGCTTGTTGACAGTGACATCTGTGCGGAGTGGGCATGTGCGGTAGTTATGGTTGCTCACGACGTTGTAGAATCCGCATGCCCTTATCCCACGAGGTTTGCCGTCCGGGCCAAATTCCACGCGCTTGATGGGGCGTGGTGGCTTTTTGGCTACTGGTTTCGCTGCTTGCATTTTACTCTTCCTCCCCTTTGTGTTTGAGAATATGGGTGGTTTAATCACTCTTTCCTGCCGCTATCGGTAGGATTTCTTGTTGTCTTGTCGTTCGCCTACAACACCATCAAGCTCATGATCTTGCATGTGAGCATGTTGCTGCTCTTGAGTGTGCACATGGGCAAGCCCTGGTTGCTGCTGCTCCTCTTCCTCGTTGTCGAACGGGTCAACAGCTCCCAGATGGTTCATCTTGGATAACATTGTAGCAATATCCTGCTCAATGGCTTCATTGTCCGTGACACCTCCATTTTCAGCGAAGTGTATGGCGTCGAGTTCTTGTTCAAGCTTGTCCAAGACGACCCGTGACCTCACCATTTGCTCTTGGCTTCTCAGGCTTTTTCTGTGCACCCTCATGTTCAGCGTCAGCTGTGAGCTTTCAATGTAGTATTGGAATGTCTTGTTTGACGCTATTGTCCTCAAGTCATTTCTGTTGAATGTTGGCTTGATGTTCGGGCGTTTGGTGTATCTCCTGAGGATGTATTTCTCTGGAACGCTGGCAGCCTTAAGTGTCTGCATCATGCACAGGACATGCACGCAGAAAAGACCTGTATTTTTTTGGAAGAGGTGCATGTTTTATGTCATTTCATTCGAATAAAAACTTTGCAAAAAGTAGTACATTATGTAACATCTTTTTTTAGTCCTCACCTGTGTGGTCCCATAGCCTGCACTCGCACTCATATGTTTCTTACATGGGGTATGCAACCACCTGGAACGCGTGCTGAGCCCACGAAGACAGTTTTTGCGGGTGGTTGTAGTGCACGAGGTACTTTGTGGGCTCTTCCGTCTCTGTCGCCGTGAAGAGTGTGCTCAGTTTTAGCCTATTTCTGATCTCGCTGTACACAGCTCGTGAGTAAACCTTTGTCATCTGATTGTCAAACTCATAGAAGGTCAGCGTGTTTTGTTCCTTCTACACATGCAAGAATGATGACCAAATTGTTAGTTTTCTCCCAGCAAAAACTTGTCTAACTAATAAAGTTTTACTTTAGTAAGCATGTTATTTTTTTGTCTCATGACAGGTGATAGAGCTATACCAGGTTACCCATTTTCTCCTGATTCTCTGCCTGCCTCCTGGTTTTGACGCAGGAGTTTACCTGGCTGACAAACCGGTGTAGGTTTTGTCTCTCACTTACGAAGTTCTTGTTGAGCACATAGTTCATGCTCTCGCTTTGCTGTGTGGATGTCATTTTGGCGTAGAAAATTTCTTTCAAGTAGGCTGATATCCATCTCTCACGCTCATTCCGCATGGCCACCATCGTGGCATCATCGTGGAGGTTGTAATTATCCATCAGTCTTTTCCAGGCAGCCCCAAACTCAGTTGGCATAAGGGGCCAGTTGAGGATTGATGTGAATTCATCCTTAAAGTCTTCGTGCAAGTTGTACAGGTATGCGAGGTGTTCGCTATATTTCTTCATAATGTGCCAGCGGCACAACTTGTGTATTGTGTTCTTGAAAGCATCTGGGATCGCTAAAGCCATTGCATGGAACTGGTCTGGTAATGAGAAAAGAGACGTGGAGAGGTCAACAGATGGTGGTGCATATATACAAATAGAACTGACACAACATTTTTACTATGTTATTTTCCTTTTGTTTCTTTGGGGAGGGGGGTTGGTTGGGGGGTGGTTTTGGCGGTTGTACCTATGAGGATGCATGTAGGAGCCTTCCCTCTCATGCACCTTAAAAATGCCTTGAACAACCATCTGAATGAATCTGCATCGTTATCTCTTATCAGGGCGAAACCAAAGAATGTAGTCTATAAGTGGTTGTTAGTACCGACAAACACCCCATGTGGCATATGGTACTTGTTGGTCTTATATGTGGTGTCAAATGTTACGCAGTCACCAAAGTCCCGATAGGCCCCTCGGCAGCTTGTGTTCTCCCAGAATATGTTCTTAACTCTGTCGGACTCATCGAGTTGCATGTCACCGAAGAATTCCCTATTTATAGCTTTCATCTCCCTACAGAAGTTGACAGTCTTTAGGACATCGTCCACATCATCCATCCTTGAATTCTTTGCTTTCCTGCATATTAAAAGTTCATTCAAAAATGCATGTTGAACTAGCGTCAGGTCATGCGTCGCGTAATATGTTTGTACTGACAGAGGAAAAAAGACGGAGGCGGTTTATGGGAGGAGAACACGTTTGTACTTACAGGTTAATCATGTATTTGGCATTCTTTTCGAGGAAGTAGCTACTAGGGTCATCACCGCCCAGTATGCTCATGATTTGCGCGTGTTCAATGCCTTTGAACTGCAGGTACTTGATGTACTCCAAGATTGTTTTGTCAAAGTTTTTGTGGGAGTGCAAGAAGACAAGCATTTGTAGAGTGAGCTGTAGCCTATGGTTGTGTTCCCAGACTATCTCTTTTACGACAAATGTTCCATCCTTTTCCTTCTTCAGCCTCATTTTAGCCCCGCAGTTAGTCCTGGCTATCGTTTTGTTCCGCTGTCTATTTGCTTCAGACACCTTCGATTCATAAACTCCATTGCACACGTGTAACACCCTGGATACAACATTCCATATTTGTAACTCCAACTCTTGCCTTTTCCGGAGATGCGATACGATATTCCCTTTGTGGTTGGGATTTCGTCTTTGTTTTGCATTTTATTCTAGTCATGCATTTCATATCATGTCATCATGTGCATCTCATTTGCATACGTGTTCATCTCTTACATCCGAGCATTTTCCCCGTTGTCCATTTTGCAATCCGACACTCCCTCTTGCACCGGCGCACCCCTCTTGTCTCTTTTCGTGAGCGGGTGTTAAACATTCTCGGAATGGACCGAGATTTGCCAAGCGGCCTTGGTACACCACCAGTAGACCGCCTGTCAAATTTCGTTCCATTTGGAGGCCGTTTGATGCTCCAACGGTTAACCGGGTAACCACAAAAGCCTCTTTGTGTTGCAGCCCAACACCCCTCCAAATAGGCCCAATAACCCATCCAAACCTCTTCCATGTCTTCCATCGTCGGATCACGATCGTGTGGGCAAAAACCGCACTCCATTTGGACATTCCTACCTCCTCCTACCTATAAATATGTGACCCCCTCCG